AAAAAAAAAAAAAAAAAAAAAAAAAAAAAAAACACAGAAAGACCAAACAGAGCGTCGGATCATACTTTTGGTTTTCCTGATAAATGTTGGCAAAAGCAAAATTAAATTTCTTAGATCAATCATGCAGATTCTGGTGTAATTTTTATATGATTTTTTAATACTTCAGCTCATTACCGACATCCACATCTATCCCGCGTAAACGAAAACATGACTGCTCGCTAACTCCATTTGCCCATCTCCTTCACCATTACAACACACCAACAGAGCTCCCCTGTCCACGATTAGCAGAGCGCTGGACACAACAAGCATTCTTACCGTGAAAGTCTGAAGCGCTTCTCAGATGCTCATCTGGTACTACATGGAAAAACTTCAACAATTTTAATTTATAGGACCGATAACTAAAGAGCAAAAAAGTATTGCCAACTCTCCCTGCACCATTGCCAAATTCCCGGTCAGAAAACCATACCTGCCTTTCAAATTAAAAATATAATTTACTCGTTCTTTGTGTATATGGGATATTCTCTACCCAACTAAAAAATCGCGCTTTATTTTTGGGTCCAGGACACTTGAGATCACTAACATATCAATACGAAAATGTTCTTGTAAGCTGAAACCAATAAAACATGCTTTCGAGTCTCCAGAGCAGTACCAGCTGCGCTACAACAGAAAATTTTGAGGATTATATTGCCGACAGAAAAACAATCTTCTCAGGACTGCGGTTCCTAAGACACTGGCAAAATTCCATTCTTAAAGACATCAGCCATCAAAACTTTTTTTCGCTTTCATATGGACTTGATCAAGCTTTTTTTAGCAGGGCGACTGCTGTAACCGAAATGTACCGGAAGACCCCATCTTTTACAAACTGGTCAAGGGGTCAAAAACGAAAAACGATAGATTTGACTGGGAAACACTGTTTCCATTCTCCCTTTTCCTGTTCACTGGCAAACACCAGTAATTTACTGATCTTTTTCCACCTCAACATAACTTCCAAATTTCTTCAATCTAAGTAGACAAGCGAGATTTGAGCATCATCCACAGCTGTAAGCGTGCTGAAAATTAATGTGAAAGGTAAATGCTGAACGTCAAGAAACATTAAACTCCAAAAGATCGTGTGACTTTTAGATACACGTTTTGCGTAGAATTTGGGGACGACAATTCATTCGCTTGTGTACAGTTCACAGTAATTTTGTCAACTGATCAGTGTTAGCAATTGGCTGAAAAAAATTTTCCTTTAACTTTTCAATTAATCTATCTCCGTAACTAAGCGTATAAAACAGCTTAGTCTTTTTATGATAACAGCGATATTCGCAACTACATTAAAAGGAAGGAAATTTAATAGCAGTTTCTTGCTAGCTTTTTAATGATAAGATTACGTATTGTTGTATGACAACAAAATAGCCTTCGAGAAAAAACAGAAAACAATGAACTGACAGCTAATATACTTTGAGAAAAGTATTTATTTCGCTATATAAAGTATAATATATACAAATAATATACAAAACATAACATATAAAGGATAATGTATAAAATATCATATATTAATATGGTGTATAAAATATGATATATAAAATACGATATGTGGTATATGATATATAAAATATGGTGTATGAAAAATAATATACAAAAAATAACGTATAAAAAAATAATGTATAATATATAATATATAATATATATAATATATAATGTATTATATAT